TACTTCCACAAACAAACACAACTGTGGTAGCATATATTTGACATGACTGTAGGCATATAAATTCATTATTAATGGAATATGTCAAATGTGAGTAAATGAGAAAAAAATACAGTATAAATAATCAGTTTGAAGGCCACATATTCACCACATATTAAATAATCTTAATAATGGTCAATATTTTAACTTTGTAACTCTGTTATTAACTAAACCTTTAAATGATTTATTGTTTTCTTATATCTTGATTCAAAGGTAAAAATATAATATTTTTAGAATGACCATACATCTGTGTGTATAAATGCATGAACAACCACTGGCTATGATTCGGATCATTTTCTGAGCATAAGATCAGGAGGATGTTTCAATTTCATTAAGTGCTTCTGCACAAAATCCTGTCAGTAAATTCACCTTTGAGGATTGGGTATTCGGATGTTAACAGTAAATGAGTCAAAAACCTTAAGCTAATCAGGCAACAATCGATATCGCCTTTTGTCCCAGAATGCATAATGTTTCAAGATTATGCCTGTTTGTCTTTATAAATGAGCATGGAGGCTGCCTCTTAAAGGAAGTATGTTGGATCAGCAAACAAGCCTCTTCTGGTCACTGCTTCATTGATTTTCTCATTCTTGCCTGCCAGCTCTAAACAAAAACATTCACTGAATAAACAAGAAATTATTTTCTTCTTGCATCGTGATATGTGCTTATACTTTTCATATTAACAGTGGACTTTGGAGACAACGCATTATGGTCCATGTCCAGGCTCACACAGTATATGAGGGTTTACAGCATATTATATTTTGACATGTTCATCTTCTTAAAGTCAGATTTCAAATGTTAGTTTCAGTTCTGACTCTTAATGTCAATATTCTAGGTTTCTACTTCATATCACTACACCCCTTTGGTAATCAAAATAATAATATTTACCCCCATTAATGGAAATAAAGTTTAAAATCACACAGCTTTACAGAGGAAACAGACACAGTTACTTCAAGCTAAAACACTATCTGGAAAAAACGTTTTGATGCATGCTCAATCACCCAGGAAAGTAAATCCCAAAAGGTTAATTCTATTCATTTTATTATACTCATTCATTTATTATACATTGATCAATGATCAGTGGTTGTTGATCAATGGTGATGACACTTTACATATTAATGATCAAGAAACTGACCTCACAGCCCATTGTTCATTAACTGAGTTAGTTTCAGTCGCTGTGCAAAGGTACTGTTTATAAGGTTGGGGAAACCCACAGCTGAGACTGAAGAAGTCACTTAGATAAGTGGCGAACCATTTTTCCCACTGAAAATGCTATGTCCAGCTGAATAGATTCAACCTTTTGGGCTCTGACAGGAAGAGGTCTGGCGCACCCAAAGCCACAACTAAATCAGAGGACAGGTTTCTGAGAGTTAACAGCTCTCAGAAACTTGTCTGATAGGTCAGATAGGTGGCTCACAAGACAACAGCTTTAAGCACAACTTAATAGTGGTCGTAGTAAGAAAATCTCAGTTTCAACTCGAGCTGCAGGTTTGACAGGACGAGTTGCAGCAAGAAAGCCGTTGCTAAGACGTCAGAATAAGGCAAAGTGGCTTGCCTGGACCATGAAACAACAGTGTGTGACATCAACTGTCAAACATGGAGGAGGAAGTGTGATGGTCTGGGGCTGTTTGCTGGATCCCGGGATGACTTTTTCCAATAATAGTGTAAAGGCTTTTTCTATTTTTTTTTCTGTTTTCTCAAAACAAAGTACAAACAGTATACAGTTAAAATAGACAGTGGACAATGCTGAGTCATGTGATAACTCCACCCTTAAAAAGAGAAGGTTTTACATGTCACAGTTTCTGATACTGTGAGAAACTCCCCATCAAGGCTTATTCCCAATTACATTTCAAGAGCAAGATCTATTTTGGGGACTGTGCGTGTGTGATCTTATTAGTTGTTTTTAATTTTGCTGGAGAGTGTTGGAGAAAGTTTCTCTAAAACCATCTTTTAGGAAATAGTAAACAAATTGAGAAAGTGATAAATTGGTGGATCTCTACTATAAACCATAATGACAAGAAATAGATGTAATTTATTGTAGCAGTAATGCAAACTAGTCTTCAAACAGAATTAAAGAATTTAAGAGCCAATCAATCAAAACCCAGGTTCTCAAGCATTGACTTTATCTATGCCATGTCTATTTGTCAGTGCTGCATATAATCAATTAGCCACAACAAGAAAAAACTAAATAGGTTAATGACATTAATCGTTTCTTTGCAATGCTCTGCTAGGAAAATTCTACCCAGGGAGGTCTTATTGTACAAGGCACTGAATCCATGGATCTACTAAGTGCAGATCTGGTTTGATTTGGTTTGATCTGACCACAACACGTTCTCCCAAGCCTTCTCTTAATCATTCTAATGTTCACTGGAAAACTTAAATTTGTCCTGTTTATACACCTTCTTGATCCAGGGGGACCTTGTGGTTCCTACAAGATGATCCAAAAGATTGTAACATGTTATCAAAGATGTTCTTGGTGACTGTGGACCCAGCTGGTTTCAGATCATTACCAAGCGTCTTTTGTGTAGTTTTGAGCTGATCCACCACATTTCTCAAGATTATTCTCACCCCATGAACAAGATGTTGCATGGAGCTCCAGACCAGCGGTGATTGATGGTTATTTTGTATGTCTTCCATTGTACCAACACTTGTCATATTTTAACAGAGCTTCTTGCTGATGGTCTTCTAGCCCATTCCAGCCTCGTACAGCTCTACAGTCTTGGTTTGAAACTGATTCTGTGGGCAGGTGTGTTTTATACCCATATACCCAAGTTGCAATCAAGAGTAGCTGAAATAGATTAATTGATTATAATTTGTGTGCCACATGGAGACAGCCAACCTTTGGAGCCACAGATTTCTTGTAGGAGATCAAATACTTATTTCACTCCACTATATGCAAACCAATAGTTTTTTCTGGATTTTCAGTTGATATTCTCTCTCTCGCTGTCAAAATGAAACCACCATAAAAATAAGACACTGTTCGTTTCTTAGTAAGTGAAGGAAAATACAGAGGTCTGCTATTTTCCTTCTCCAGTGTTGTGTTCCTGCCTTTTCAAAACAATGCTTTTTTTTCTGCCTGCATCAGCAGAGAGATATAATCCCTCCTGCGTGTCCTGGGTCTGCCCCGGGCCTCCTCCCAGTGGGACATGCCTGGAATACCTCACCCAGGAGCCGCCCTGGAGGCACCCTTATCAGATGCCCGAACCCCCTCAACGATCTCCTTTCGATGTGGAGGAGCAGCTCCTCTACTCAGA